AATATTTTTTTACCAAAGTTTCTTGTGCTCATCAAGGCTGTATTTATTTGATCAAAAATACAGAAAAAAACCCTATTATTTTGTGAAATATTATTTCAATTTAAAATAACAGTTTCTATTTTAATATAGTTTAAAATGTAATGTATTCCTGTGATGCAAAGCTGAATATTCAGTATCATTACTCCAGTCTTCAGTTAACGAATCCTGAAAAAAGTATCACCGTTTCAAAAAAAAATATTTGGCAGCACAACTGTTGCCAACATTGATAACTCTAATAATAAATCAGCATATTAGACTGATTTCTTAAGGATCATGGGGATAAAAAGTGATAGTAAAGACTCATATGGTTAAAAAATATTTTAATTTTAAATAAATGCTGTTCTTTTTAACTTTTTATTCATAAAAGAATCCAGAAAAAAGTATCAGTTTCCAAAAAAAACAAAAAACAAAACATGAAGCAGCACAACTGTTTCCAGCACTGATAATAAATAGCTTTGCATCACATAATTAAATTATATTTTAAAGGATATTAAAATTGAAACCATTATTTTATATTGTAATAACATTACATTTTGCAAGATTACTGTTTTTTTTTTCTGTATTTTTGATCAAATAAATGCAGCCTTGATGAGCACAAGAGAAGACTGGAGTAATGATGCTGAAAATTCAGCTTTGATCACAGGAATAAATTATATTTTACAGTATATTAAAACAGAAAACCAATATTAGAAATTGAAATAATATCTCACAATATTACAGTTTTTTCCTGTATTTTTGATCAAATAAAATACAGCCTTGATGAGCACAACAGAAATCTTACTGATCCCAAACTTCTGAACGGCAGTACTTATATATGCTAATAGGCTATACACACACACCCACACCCACACACACACACACACACACACACACCCACACACATGTGTTGGATTAAAGATGTTTGAAATACTCATCTTCATCTTTGTGCATTTATATGCAGCACAATGTGACAGTAAATGGGACATAAAAATACTCACGCAATAATAATTTATGCAACACTTTTTAAAAAGTAAAAACCTAAAAATAAATGAATGTAGTATTTGCCCACAATGCAAACACTGAAAATTTATATCTCAGTCTGAATGAATCGCTCTAAATCAGACTTTATAAACATTGCTGTCATGCATCCCATCATCTGTACTCTCTTCTAATGTCACAATGTGAGTTTTTATTATTTATTACACATTTATTTGGAAAACCCAACAACAAAAAGTAATTATGCAGCAATGATTTCTCACACCTAATTATTTCTTACACTGAAAATAAATATATAAAATCAAGTATCTGTAACCGTTTTAATGGTTTTTTTCTCTCTCGTTCTCACACACACACACACACGCACACACATACATACACACACACACACACACACATACATACATACACACACACACATACATACATCCACACACACACACACACACACACACCCACACTTCTTTAGTATAATAAATACTCCTGTTTTCCCCCCTTTGATTATAAATGTTGTTACATTATTGTGAGGCGTTGTTTTTCGTGGCCTGACACAGAACTCGCGTCTGACTGCGGGTGCAGCTTTGTTCAGAGAGCGCGTGAATGACGCAGACAATAGAGGCACGCGACGCGACGCGACGCGACGCGTCCAGCAGCCGCATCAGGACGCTCAGCTGATGACAGTTACTCTGATCCGCCTGGATTCCCATTACTCCTCATTTACACTCACATCTCTTTACATAATGACGCTTTTAACCAAATGTATTGCACGATATCAATGCCATTAAACAGGACAGTTCCAACACATTCTCACTATTTCGCGTGCTGTTTTACTTCCGAGATTTAACTAGGAGCTATAGGCCAAAGCCCAGCCTTGGAAGGATAAGTTGAAAACTAAACTTGAATGACTTTGGGTAAGAATAAAATTACTAATTAAAATCTTTCACTTTCACATAAACTTTAAAACGTCGCCCAAAAAGACGTAATTTCTATATTTTGAAACGAGAACAGTCAATATATTATAAAAAAAGACATTTGTTCACGTTTTGCATCACAGAATATGAATATCATCAGTGAAGTGGCTAATGTCAACGTGTGCTAGCATAACAACACGAGTGTGCTTTTCCACGAGACATCAGCAGTTTGACGACTAATCGTGTTAAAAACAAAACGATTACATTTACATGGTTTGACTGAGTCCGTGTTAATTACGACTATTCAACTTACCTAAATAACGTTGACGTTAGCCACCGAGGAAAATGTTGGATATTATGGATAAATCTTTCCCCGGGCGTATCCGGGCGGAACCATTAAATTCGGGGAATGTTTATTATAGACATTTGACGCTGTGACACGCGAATATTCTCGCGAGTTCGCTGGAAATACTTTCAATTTAGTGCAGCGGCAAAACGGCATGCTATAATTATGCGACCTCAGATTAAATATGTGACAGTAATAGCTTTATTTTTAAAGGACACAACGAGTCTAGCGTGATTAAATGACAAATCAACAGCGGGACGGAGTTGGGGCGCCATCTATTGACGAGCAAACGGAACAAAATCATTTGAAAGAAACCACAGTCTGGTTTAGATGTACAGCTTGATTTCGTTTTCAAAAACAATACATCTAAAATTAAATGTGTCAAGTAGCACAGTTACAAATATTATTAGACTATTACAGGCTACTGACTTTCTTTGGATGTACTGTAATCATAAAGACAAATGCTACATCCTTAAACTACAATGCAAAATGATATATGATTTATGTGCGGTAGTAAATTCTAAAGTAGAATTTAACTTTTTAAAAGTAACGTTTACCTTTATTTAAACTTTAGTTAATTTTCTTACCTTTATTTATTAAGTCCTGAAATGTTATAAAAATATAATAAGTCTTAAAATGTTGTAATAATATAATAATAATATTAGTGCTGTCAAACGATTAATCGCATCCAAAATAAACGTTTTTGTTTACATAATATATGAGTGTGTACTGTGTTTATTTATTATGTATATATAAATACACACATACAGTATATATTTTGAAAATATTTACATGTATATACATTTATATATTTATATTTTATATTATATATAAATATATTTAATATATAAACATAACACATTTTTCTTAAATATATACATGCATGTGTTTATATTTATGTGCACAATAAATATACACAGTACACACACATATATTATGTAAACAAAAACTTTTATTTTGGATGCGATTAATCGTTTGACAGCACTAATTTATATATAATAATAAGTGTTCTTCTTTTTCTTCTTCTTATTATTATTAATGTGCAGATAGTGTGGTTTGTTATAAAAAACTTTTTTTAATATGTTTTTGATGTGTAAAATCTATGCTATAATTTAAATTGCACATGTATTATTTATCATGTATTATATGACCCCTTAGTATAAATTAAGCTACACTCAAACTTTTTTCAGTTCAGCACTGTTAACATTTCCCCACTATTTTTACATAATGTATCTTCAAAAGAGACCCGTTTCCAAATTTACGTTATGAAGATTTGATGAAGACATTGTTTTTTCATCAGCCTCTTGTTGAAGGGTGAAACTTCATCTAGGAATAGAATTCATGTAAAGTTCTGTAGGTCAAAAAAAAAGATAAGAAACAGTTTTTTTTCTTAAACTCATTATTTAAAAATAAAGAATTAGTTTGATATGTTTTTGTTATATTTTCGCAACCAATCACGAAAACATAAAAATGTATTTATTTATTGTTTTTGTTCCGAATGTTTATTGCTCCAAATTTTCTCCAAAATGGCCACTGAATGCATCCGTGAACAAATCTAATTTAATATAAAAATATGACATTTGTAAATAAATAAATAACTATTGTTAAATTTTTGTCTATCATGTGATTGGCGTCTAACATCACGTGACGAGACGTCCGTCAGAGCACGGAAGTTGTCATAAGGAGCTAAAAAGAGGGACTGCTGGTGTTATAACCTGAGAACAACTCTCTGCTCGCGTACATACTAGAGACTTGCGAGTGTTTTTCGGATCGTGAGCGATATAAACAGCAGGACAAGTCCGCGGTTTCAGGGCAGAGCTGAGCGGCGAGATGGAGTGGTTTGGAGGCGGCGTGTTTCAAGCTGAACCGGACCGAAAGGAAAACATGCCCCGCGCACACCCACACGAGGTGCTCACAAAGTTCACTAGTGCTTCATTCACATCTCAATGCCTTGTGCTTGTGCTTTAAATCAATACGAGGTTGTGTTTGAACTTGAAGCCACGCGGAAATGTGCTGTACAAGGTGCTTCACCGCAGGATGAGTAAGAGAAGTAAGAGAAAGCCTGCATCTTAAAAGTGAGCTGCCTACCTAGACAACATCTTTGGGCATCACACTAAACGGCTCTTCGGTGCCCAAAGTGCTGTTTAAGGTGGACAGTCAGCTCAAAGTCCACAATATGTGTGACCGTCATCGAGGGGTATTATGTGGATCTCTGATCTGAGATCATGCCCCTGTGTTTTCACGTTGACAAGCTTGTTCTGACAGCTGAGGAAACTGAGTGCTTTATTATTAGATCCATGGAAGTTCCACTGCTAGTGTGATGCATCACAGTTATGCTTTATCTGTGCTTTAGAGTAAATCAGCAACTGCAGACTCTTGAGATCAAAAAATCTCAAACAGCTTGGACCTTTTTTTTTTTTTTTGGCACCCTAAATCAAGCTATTTTTTCATACATTAGAATATGTCCTGTTTAATTCGATTTTTTTCTGAGCAAAAACTCAACAATATATACGTTGTTCTAATTTTTTTACTACTGAAATGTAGGCTAATCTTGTCAGTCGTATTTAGAACAAGAATCATTAAAGATGTCATTTAAGACTCAATTTAAAGATCACAGGGAACCCCCCAAAAACTAATTAATTGTCTCTTAAATCTTTACCAATCTATGCGCCACTACTCGAGTTTTACCCATTTGTCAGCAATTAGCAAATATAATTTAGTATGATCGCTTTTTCTTTTGTGTTTTAATAAGTACAGGTCAGAAGAAGGATGTTTTTTTACATAAATACATCTATTACACTGAATGGTACACAAAATATGGAACATTATTTCACCCATATTTTGACATTTTATTTTCAGTTATTTGAAACATTAAAGTGGACACTTTATTTACATTTAATATACTTTCTAAATATATATATATATTTAGATGTATTGTGCTACAATAACGTGTGTATATATATATATATATATATATATATATATATATATATAACACAAATATACACACACACAGTACTCAACATAAATTAGGTAACTCAATATAAATGGTAAATACATTATATATTTAATAAAAACATAAATAGGCCTATGTCATGTATATTTGTAAAATAAGTAAATTGTCCAATTTTTAAATGAAGGGTTGTAGAGATTAGTACACCCCTGATTAAATTCAACTAACATGTAATAATCTAATACTCAGTGTGTCCTCTTTAACTTTAATTATTCCGCTGTGACCCTTCTTGGCAGAAAGTGTAAAAGTTCATGACAAGTTGTCGCATCTATCCTGTTTCACTTCTGAAGGACAATCTCCTTAAATGCCCTGATCTTTCAAGGAGAGTGTTGCTCAGCTCATCTCTACAGAATCCTGTTCAGATGCTCAAGAGAATTGCGGTTAGGTGAAATCCACTGAAGGAAAGAAAAAAAACCGCCCAACAATGCAGGGAATGAGGAGAGGGTAGCATCTAGTGTTAATTTTGTCAGCTATTTTCATTTTAGTCTTAGTCCCGGGCTAAAATGTCCTTGTTAGCTTTTATCATATTTAGTCAAACTTATCCTATTTAGTTTTAGTCAAGTTTTAGTCGACTAAAAGTCTCAACATTTTAGTCTAGTTTTAGTCAAAGAAAACTTGACATTTTAGCAATAAGATTATTAATTAACCGTACAGTAGTATTCATTTTGGCAGCCATTTTTAATTTAGTGTTAGTCTTACTCAAATGTACATTTTAGTTATATTTACACAAACTTGTCCTGTTTTTGTTTATTCAATGAAATGTATGAGCATTTTAGTCAGGTTTTTTAGTCAATTAAATATTAGTCACATTTTCATCATTCTGTATAATGGTTAAACTGATAAAAAATAATTTTTTTCTCAAAATTATAATCATAATGATTGTTGTCATTTGAGAAATTTACTTTTGCATTTCAGGTATTTCACTTTCTCCAGTAAGCACAAATCAATAGAATGTGGACACATACATGGTGTATTTTACCTCATCTAGTGTACTGATTTATTGTAGGCTTTTTATTATATAAATTAATACCAAAGACTCATGCAATCTCTCTGTCTACATTATGAAAACAGCTAAAACAAACGAAAAATATTATAACAGTGAAATTCCTAGTAATTCCAACACATGTTAGACTGCACCCCATAAACACAATCAAGCCTAGAAAAAACCCACTGAACCACCCCTTTAAAAGCGAAGCTCTGAATCGGGGATTAGAACTCTTGATATCTGGCAACCGCACTCATGAGAGCTCGCGTAGTAGAGGCGTGTAGAGCAGTCTGCAATAACATTTTGTCTCCTTTTTTGGCGAAAATAAAGAGGTTTTTGGTAACGTTTTTACCTTTTTGAATACATTTTAGTCTCGTCTTATTTCGTCAACGAAATTGCATGTTGATATAGTCTTAGATATCGTTTATTGACCTTATTGTCGTCTTGTCTTCGTCTTGTCTTAGTCATGGGAAAAAAGCTCGTCAACGAACATTTTTCGTCATAGTCTTCGTTAACGAAATTAACACTAGTAGCATCTTCTGTTTCCAGTTTTTGTATTGCATCACACAGTGGTCTGTAAATTCATGACAGCATTGATATAAAGCACAACTTGCTCACACCTCAAGCACTCGCACATCCCTATAGAAGAGCTTTACTACCACTGAACTTCACTGTGGCAACCAGGCACTTCTCACCACACTCCTCCTCAAGCAACACCATAATATTTTGTATGCTGTTAGATCCAGATTATGGATTCCCAGAGGTCTATATTTTGTAAATATACACCTTGAAAAAGGTTAAATGAGGTAAACAATAGGGCTGGGTATCGATTCAGATGTTCCAATTCGATTCGATTTCGATTTTCAAGCTCTCTATTCGATTTTCGATTCGATATTCGGTTTCGATTCGATTTTTGATTTCAATTCTCGATTCGATTTGACTATATGAATGAATATAGATAAGATATAAATCCTAT